CTCGTATTTTGACTCGTATTCTGACTCGAGTACTCTTCGAGTCAGAAAAATTATGACTCGACTTGACTCGAGTCAAACGAGTTGATTCGAGTCCAATCACTAAGTCTAGCTCCCACCTCCGTTGCGGAAAATCCCTTGATCAATCGATTGTTATAACAAACATAACAATCTGGTGCCCCGACCCATTCATCGTAAGATAAACCCATTCAACTAAATATTAAAGGGAACGCAGCAGTACGTAGTTTGTCGTGCGCTATATCATTGCATGTTTTTCACGATTTTCCAATTGCATTATCGTTATTATTATTAATTGATTTTGTCTTTAAAATCGATTCTCAAATATTAATCGATTCTACAAAATTAATCGATTCTCAGAATCGATTCCTATCTCTAGTTCCGACTTCTATCTTATCGAGAATTTATGGAGCATCGTAGAGAAGCGGCAGCCAAAAAATCCTCCGGAAACTGGAGCAATTTTTGGTGGAGGAATCTTACTGGTTATAGATTAATTGATAATATTTGAATTTTCCTAATAACGATAAGAACAATGACGAATTATAATCTATTATACGTATTAAGTATCACATATTTATATGTAAACATTATTTGTCACAAATTGCTTATACACGGTAAAAACACACAAAGGGTATCGGTATTGGTATATGCTTTTTCCAAGCCGCAGACATTTCTTCTGAAATTCTTCAAGTTCTGATTCACCACAATAATAACAAACGTCATATTGTTTACGAAAAGCTGGTCTACTTTCTTGAAGAGCTGTAGTTTTGGAAACCCAATTCAAAGTTGATCTTGACTAGTAACATAAATGACGTTTTGTTTGCCTCCATTTTAAGAAAAACCTTCTTGAATCACGAAAAGATCCTAAAAAATTCACCATCCTGACTTAAAATGCTGTGCTAGAATGCTAAATATTTTCGCGTGATATTTAATCCGGTGAGGTTACTTGAAGTGGGTGGGAATCAAACAACTTAATTTGATTATGTTTATTACTAACGCTGATACAAAATTCACTTCCATTTAATTCTTTTGGATCCGTCATGTCGTCAGGTGATCCGGTTATGATGAAGTTCCACGTGGGATCACCTGGTATCAGTGTTGTCAACTTGACCATAATGGGCATAGTCCACTGGACTACTGGACTTGGTAATTTTTTAAGTCCAATGGTTATTGGACATAACGATAACGATAATAAAGTGACAACGCCTGTTAACAGAAGAGACAATGTAAACTTATAATTGAAATAAGGGCCAAATACATATCGATATGTATATTTTTACATGTAATTTCGTATATCATAACATTAATAATATCGATATAATCCAAAACTGGTAGTAGACAACAACTCAATGAATGCTTTATTTAAAAAAAGAAAGGCTCGAGAGATATACATGTTCAGTTTACTGTTCCTACTTCGGGGTTGATTGTGTACAATACCATTATAGCTAACAAATTGTTTTGTAAATAAAACATGCCAAACATACCAATCCGTATGTAGTTTTCTATTTTTATAATTACTGTTTCTGATTCAGAAAGAAAATTATAGCGATCGATTGTGATAGAAATTAGGAAGAAGTTGGGCTTATCATTATTGTTCAACATTAATAACACAAACTACTAGTTTTTTTTGAATTGTCAATGAAAAACTGCGCAGAACGGTTATGCCTTATTTCAAAGAATGGATCTTTGATTGATTTTAAAGTGGTGGCGCAAGGATAAATATTTTTGCTCTATATAATGATGAAGACAGACCCTTTTGTATTTTTCAATCTCTTTTTTGAAAACAAAACAGAATAATTAACTCTCGATACCTTAAACAACGAAAACTCTCTCAATACCTTAAAACACAACGAAAACACTCTCAATACCTTAAAACACAACAAAAACTCTCTCAATATCTTAAACACAACGAAAACTCTCTCAACAAAAACTCTTAAACACAACAAAGAAAATAAAAATGATTTTACCCAAATACGAAAATACCTATTCAACCTCACAATCAACCAACAAAATGTTTTTAAACCAACTCGAAAAAATCGTCGACTCTACTACTCAGTTCCTCAATAAACACCAACAAGTAACAATTCTCGGTGTCCACGGATGGCTTCCCGAAATAGCACAAGGAATTTGGCCAATTCCATCACAGATTTTGGTCGACAAAATGGAATTGGCTGTTCGTCGTTATCTCAACCTTGGAAAAGATGAAGGAAACATTACGGGAATTCGGTTAACTGGGCATGGAATAGTAGAAGATAGAGCAGAAATGTTTTTGCAACGAATTCAGAATGATCGGAGTTACGTCGACAAGGTATCGAATGCCAATGTTATTTTTATCGTTGGTCACTCGCAAGGTGTGCCGACGAGCGTCTTATTACTTTCACGACTTATTGAAACTGGATTGGTGAATCCGAAAAAACAACATGTTGCTTTATTGTTATTGGCTGGCATTTCGGAAGGACCGACGTCACGCTTTGAAATTGGAGATACAATAGGGAAAATTGTTGGCGATAAAGCGACGAGCGAGCTCTTTGACTTTCAAATCTCCACTAATGCAATTGCCAAAAAATATCGTGCTGCTACGCAGACTGCATTGAAACTTGGTGTCAAAATCCTGTATTTCGCTTCTGGAAATGACGAAGTTGTACCAGTAAGCATTTTTACTATTCAACCTATAAATTTTGCAAAAACAAACTTGAAATTTAATCGCATTTTTCATTATTAATCCAAGCTTCACTCCGCACTCTTCTCGAGCGTCAAACATCCATCAATCTTGCGCGGAATCTATGTAGCTGATGAAGTCTATCAGGACAAGCGATTCATTGTTGATTTAGTGCGTCTTTTGATTCGTATTAAGAACCATGGGTATTCCGATCAAGGCCTCTTGAATCATATAAGTGATGCTTTAATCGGTTATTTGAAAGATGGCGGCCATAATCATATATCAACCGAAGATGAGACTTACATGTAGGTTTATTTATTAACCTCAGTAATATTTTCGGAAAATGCAATTCTAAACTCGTATCTATTCAAATTGTTCCTTTTTTTGAAATACGACAGGTCCGCAGTAAAACATCTTTACGAATCAAAAACCTACGAAGGAGTCGAATCTACATTCGCAGAATTCGACTACTCAAAACCATTGCATCTGGGTCGCAGCTACATTCCTTGGGGAATGCGTGGTCTTTTATCGGATGAAGATCTTTTCAAATCAGAGAAGATTGGTCCTGATGTCATTTCCTTGCGAAAAAGCTTTATGACCTGGGATCCTCGAGTTGGTGATATAGTAGCAGCCGAATTGAAATTACTGTTAATCCCCTTTGGCGATACAAATGAAGATCAATATATTTATACACACCATATTGATACTGTATCTGATAATGTTCATGCTAAACTTTAAATGCAGGAAGAACCCTTAAATTAGTTTTGCAATTTAGCATAATATATCAAATAAGAAAGTAATCTTTCATCTTTATTATGCCATAACTTAATATCTACACATTTCCAGTTATAACGAAGTATAATTAAAATCTCGATATAACAAAGTTTGAATTTAGTAATTTGTTATAAAAATCTTGATACATATAACGAAGATTCCAAAAACTTTTACTGATAGTTCGTTATATCCAGTTTTGACTGTAACGACTTTCCTTCTCTAAGTATTTGAAACTGCTTTTTAAATCTTCAAAAGCATACATAATAAGTATTACTGAAATTTTATCAGCTGACAGCTTTCAGCTACATTTTATGTTTATAAATACTGTCCAAAACTTTTTATAAACAAAAACAAGTCTTGCATATTTAAGTAAATATATAGAATATATATTTTTATTATTAATATTAAGTGAATTGTAAATGTCAAATAGTTTTGGACAAATTTTCAATTGCCCAAATTCCCAACACTGATTTATATATTGTGTCTGTATCTAATGATTTGGGCCAATCCTAATGCTAAAATCTGAACATCTCGGATTTTAATCATAATCCAAAACTTAATTCCTAAATTCTGAAACTAATCCGATATATCTGAAAACAATTTGATATATCCGAAACTGTCCGATATTATTATAGTTTAGCCATGAAGGGGGATGCGTTACAAACTCCAACTAAGCCGAGTGACAGCACAGAAGTCGAAGAATTAGCATTTGGGGATGTTATTATTATATTTGTTGGAGTTGCTGATTTTGTTGTGATTATGCTAATTTTGTTCTAATTAAATTGTGGCGGCTGATAGTAACAAAGTGAAGACGAAAAAAAGGGCAGATCATGTGATTCCGATCCCAATGCCGACCATCCGATATCCCTCTTAAATTATAATGCATAATATTAAATAGAATTTCGGTTAGGGTTGGTTTAGATTTAGAGTCAAGGTTATTGTATAGCAAACGTGAATATAATATACAGTCAAACCCCTCTATAGTCACACCCATTTATAGTCACACCCATCTATAGTCACATTCACTCTATAGTCACCAAATTTTGCTTTTCCAAGGGTGGTGACTATAGAGAGGTTTGACTGTATAGTAAAATTTCGCAAGAAACATTTTTTATTAAAGCACAAAAGATAGTTTCATATGCAAAATTTTTCAAAAATAATCTTTTGTTTTATTTATTTTTGAATTTTTGCATTGCACATTGATCTTGCAATTTGATTGGTGCATAATTTTAAGGGTAACTATAAAGGGATGTAACTATAAACAGACATGACTATAAAGAGATTTGACTATATTTAAAAGAATTTGTTTATATTAATTTTTCACAATTTTTCATTTGTTTGAATTTTACATATTACACATGATCTTATAATTGAATTGATCAAATTTGTATATTATACTTAATCTTTGAAGTATCAAAGTAAAAATAAAAAAAAATAGATCATGTGATTCCAATCCTGACACTGATCATTCGATATTCCTCTATTTTGCTTTCCTATTTACATATAAACATAATAAAAAAATTCTCTATAATTATCAAATTTTGTTTTTCTGAGGGTGATGATTATAAAAAAATTTGACTATATATTTCTCTCGAAATTATAGTAAATTATATATTTGAAAAAAATGTGAATTTATAAAAAGCAAAATATATAAAACTTTTATGAGTTAGAATCCAATTATGCTATATATTTAGAAAAAATATGTATATATAGAGAGTGCATTTAGAAAAATTTGTAATTCAAATAACTAAAAATTTTGTTAGAATATCTAGTTTTTAATATCTAAGTAATAAAAATATTTAGTATAAAATTTAAATATATTAAAGTTAGCTTCTTATTTAACAAATTTTTAATAAATTAGATAATTAGTAAAATTACTCTATTTTAATTTTTTTCATGAAAGAAAAGTTTAATAATTATATTTGATTAGTTAACAAAAACAATAAGTAGATAAAATTTTTTTATAGATAATTAACTAAAATAATAAAATTATTTTTTTATTAGAAATATAATCTTTAAAATTATATTTAATATAAAGTCAAACTCAGATTTTGATAAAAAATTATAAAAAAAGTAGTAAATTATAGTTAATAATTCGAAAAATATATTAAGCAAGAGTAACAAATTTTAAAAAAATATTATAATGTTATTTACCAATTTATAACAAGTTTTAATATAAAGAATTATTAAAAAAATACAAAAATTATTTGTTTTCAAGTTCTATTTGATATTTATAATTTGTTTTTTAATTAATTAATTATATAAGTAATTGAAAATTTATAATTTATAATTTATAATTTTTTAGAATGAAATACAAATTTAATTTTATTAAATTTTTATTTAAAATTATAAAGTTAAATAAAATTTTGAATTTTATTAAAAGTATAAATTAATTAAAAAAATGAATTAATAAAATAAATTAATACTTATTAAAGTTTTTACAATTTGTAAAATTCTATAACAATTATCAACAATTTATTTTTTATTAAATTTCTTAAAATATTATATCTGAATATATTTTATTTTTAAAAAATTTTATTTAAATAACTTTTGGATTTATTATTATCAATTCTTAAATCAAAAGTTATAAAAATTCAAAATTAAGAAAATTTAATATTATAAAATTTTTTAAGAATTTTAAATAATAATAAATTAAAATATTAATAAAAATTTTTTAAGCTTGTAATAAATAAATTAATTCTTTAAATAAATTAATTTGAAACTTTAAAAATATTTATAATAATTTAGAGTATTTACAAAATCTTAAAAAGATTTATTTAAAAAATATATGCAAAATATAATTTATAAATAAAATATTATAATAATTAACTATCTTAATTAATTATTTAAAAATAATTATTAAACTAATATAAATATATTTTTTATTTAATTTTAAATTAATAATATTATTACAAGTTTGTTCACTAATTATTAAATTAGTTTACAAACTTAAACTTGAATTAAAAGAGAATAATAAACTGATAAAAATATTAAAAAAAGAGAGAAATATCTAAGATTTATATTAATTTCTATGAAAATTGTATTTATTTAAAAAAAAATAATATTATAGAAGAGTTGCAAGAAAGTAAAAGTAAAAAGAAAAAAGAGTGTATAAATAAATAAAAAAATAAATAATAAAGAAGATTTAAAAGACTAATTCTCTGTACTTGTATAAAGCTTTTTAAAGCTAAGCTAAGCTAAGATAATATAATTAGTAATAACAATAATAAAGATTCTTTTATTTTGTTTTTTTCACAAGTAAGAAATATTTATTAATAATCAAAAATTCAAATAACTAAAACTAAAATACTTAAAATTTAATACAGCAATTTGTTTAATATAATATATTATAAAACTCAATAATTCAATAATAGTAATCTGTTCAGTATAATATAATCTAAAGTTCAAAGTTAATAATAGCAATTTGCTTAATATATTATAATATAAAGTTATTATTATAGCTCAAAATTATTCTTAATTTCTTAATTTTGTTTATGTGATAAAATATAAATTATAAAAATAGTAAAGTTCTCAGACATATTAATATTATTTACTATATTATATTTATTTAATATATATAATATATCTTATATTGTAATAACTTAATTATAAAAATATTTTATATAAATAAAGGATCTTTTAGATAAACTAAAAAATATTAATTGATTAATATAAATCTAGTTAATTAATAAATTACTTCTTGTTTATTTTTTAATAAAATTATATATTAATTAATTTTATAATTTATCTTTATTATGTACTACTGAATATTTAATCAAATTATTATAAAACTATTTATATACTAAGTAAATACAAAAAGAAAAATATTTATTAACAGTAGTAATATTCTATTTTATTTTAATAGAATAGAAGAAGCTGTATTATATATTAATTTTAAAGTAACTAAATCAAAATTAGTAAATAATGAAAAATTGTAATAGATATTGATTGAATATTTATATTACAAAAATATTTATCTGAGTTTATAACTTGTGATACTATCAGTGATTTGTTAAGTATAATATAATATAAGCTCATTTATATATAAAATTTAAAGTATATAAGAAATATAAGAAATAAAAGATATTTGAAAGAAGATTTTTATTAAGAAAAATTTTCATTTTTGATTATAATATATCAAATTAAGACTCATATGATATCTCTATTTATATATTTTTTGAAAATACAAAAAGTGAATTAAATAATTATATAAATATAAAAATTTAAATAAAAATAAAATAATTAATTATATAAAAGTAAAATAACATATATAAAAATGAAAAATTGAATAAGTAAAATAATAAAAAAGTGAAATAATATATATAAAAGTAAAAAATTAAAAAATTAAAATAATGAAAAATTGAAAAAGTGAGATAACAAAAAAGTACAATAATATATATAAAGAGAAAAAATTGAAAATGTGAAATAATATATATAAAAATGAAAAATTAAAAATTAAAAATTAAAAAATAAATAATAAAAAAATGAAATAATATATATAAAATAAAAAGTTGAAAAAATAAAATAATGAAAAGATAAAATAATATATATAAAAATAAAAAATTGAAAAAAGAATTTTTATGTTTTTCAATTATTTTTGAAATTTGAAATTTTATATTATTACTATAATAATACTTACTTTTTATATAATAATTCAAAAATTGAAAGATTTAATTAATAAAGTTATAATTAATAAAAGTGAATTTTAATAATAAAATAATATTTATTTATATATTATATATAATTGTACAAGTTCAGTTTTGTATTATTATAAATTGATAAGTATTTATTATTTAATAATATTTGTTTTTTTATTTATTTAATAACTAATTATTGTACAAAATCATTAATATTATTTATAAATTCTATCAAACTTTTTTAGAAACTATAAATATTAATATTTTAATTTTGAATTAAATTATTTTATTAATAAATATTTTTATTTTAAATATGTTTTGACTTTTTAGAATTATTATTTCTTTTCTTCTTAAATATTCTAAGAAACTGCATTTTTTTGATAATTTACACATATTATCTGACAAATTTGCTAAGAATATTCATTTTATATTGGTATATATTATATTCATTTCCAACATCAAAATTATATATAATAATTTCAAGTATAATTGATTATTTATAGTAAAAAAAGCTCTTAACTACAGATTTTCAATGTAAATATCAAAAAAATTCGCATTAAAATAATATCTTTGATAATATTTTCTGTTGAAATTATTATAGGAATAGATAAGTCTTTCAACAATGATTTCTTCTACAAGAAGTCAACATGAATAATGAATTCAAAAAAAAGAAAAATAAGGATAGCAAAAAATCAAAGAGAAATCGAAATTAAAATTACTTCAAAGAAAATTTTTGCTTTTACCCTTCTTAAATTTTCTGTATGTGTTCCGATTGATGCTGCAAGAAACTTCATCCTCGTTCTGAGAAAAATTTGCTCAACTTTTATCTAGAGCTCAATAATCTTGATATGTCTAAAATATATGAACAATATTATGAAACTGCAAAAAAATAGCAAACTATTTATGTTGTCGATGTTAAGAGCTTATGATTAAATGAAATGTGATAAATGATTATATGGAAGGTACGCAATCTTTTAGGTGCTTATGAATATCATCCAATAATGGGTCTAGAAGATAAACATCCAGCTATCAGTCTGAACTTTGTATCTTTATATCCAAGTATCATTATGACTTATCCTTTCACCCGAGAAAATAATTCTATCACCTGAAGAGACAGTTGCATTAAAGAAAGCAAATGAATCTCTTCACAAAATTGAATTTCCCTTCAACTGCCGTATTTTACGTGCCTAAGTCAAAGAAAACAAAGAATTCGCACGACTCGGATTGAAAATTTATAACATGGAAAACTATCTCCATGAGAACTGGACTGGATATCCCGATCAGCTCGATGTACAATGAACGAAAAATGCGTTTATCATTATAGATTCGCAGACAATGGCAACACAGCCAATCAAACATTGAGGTTTTTCGCAAAGTTTCAAACCTTTTAATAAGAATATGGCCAACGATTATGCTGGCTTCGGCAAAAATACAGTTATCGTTACTGATAGAATTTGATAAAGATTGGTCTGATAATACCCCTACAACTAGTGTTGTACATGGGACATCGTGGACAGATTTCGGACATTGTGTAACCAACTTTGATGTCGAAATTTTATTAAGACAAGTTGTCTTGAACTACTAATTAAAGTTGTTCACAATTGCTTTTTGCATATATCTACAAAGTTTCGATATATATTTATATGTAACACAAGAGTACGTCCGCGGACCGGACGCGGACATCTCAAAAAAGTCGCGGACATCCAAAATGTACAACACTGGCCTACAACTATACAAATCAAGACTAAAAAATGCGAAAATATTCAAGATTGCCCCTCTCTAACATCAAGGCATTCAAAATACCAGAAAAAACTTTCAATATCTCCTTATAAACGGTTGCACTAAGAACAGTTAGTGAAATCAGAGTGGCCAAATAGATTGCACCGTAAATTTGTTCTCGTTCAAGGTCCTAGCGAAAAAAACGTAAGAAACGACGAAGGGGCTAAAAACGGTTTTAGTGAAAAATTTAATAACAAAGTATATGTCTCTTAGCTAAACATACCGATTTTTTACGATCAGTCTTTTTACTATCCACAAGCGCTTGGATGTAAATAAGTCTTGCCGGATTGTCTGGCAAGGTGTTAAATCTTCGTTCTCGTCGGCTCATTTCGTGAAAGGCTTCTTGTCCTTCAGCCTCGAGAACAAGACCATTGGGGATTGCAGTAGCCATTTAGTTGTTGATGACGGTGGATAGTCGATGATGTTTGGTGAGGGTAGACAGTTTAATAGAGTTGAGAGTGGATAGGTTTGAAAGCTTCTTGAGCGCTTCCTTATATACTCTTGTCAAAAGGCACGTAATTGTGGGAATATGACCATATCATATGATCAAAACCGATAAATAATATGATCAGGTAAGACCAATCTTTCCAACCCTCCCAACTTCGACAACTCATTTCTTTCTTCCAAAGCTGTAACAGATCTTACTTTTCACGGTGATCGTCATTCAATTGAGCCAAAACGCCGATATGACACATATAGTGTAACCAAACCTAGCCCCAGAATCGACTCAAATATTCTCTAAAAAATCATACACTATTCCTGAACAAAAAGATAATACGGTAACGGTAAGCGATTACTATGAACAAGTTAACTTATGCTCGGCTTAAATAAAAAATTTCGATTATTAGCTTTGAGGTTTAGTGATACTGTGTCTTTGGATGAGTTAGTTACGAAGCTGACGGAGGCAGAAAAAATTGTCCGATTACTCTAGTAAATCTAATAACTCGGATAACTGAATCATGTATTATTGCCGGAAAATTTAACGTCTATATCGCCATAGTATAACATCATGGTAAAGAGTAATAAATTCGGACAAGAAGGCTTCCATGAAAGAAGCACTCGCCAATCTCTATGAATTGTTGAGAAGTAATAGCGATTCAGAACAAGCTCAGCATTGAGGGCAATGCGACGCGGGTATCAAGTTCATCTGACAGTGGTCGCCGAATGATACCAGCATTCACAAGTTACAAATACCAGTATGCTCTACTCAGAGATGAAATTCTGAGACATTTGTTGCCTCAATTCTTGCTACCTGAAAATCTGAAACCATAAGCCTCATTTCACACTTCGTGCTTATGGGTGGAAGTTTATACCCATATATTCGATTATTTGAGCTGGAACTCACAGACGCAGTAGAAGTTGGGGACGCTTTCAAAATATTTACGATGACATAATCAATATCTTCCAAATTTAATCTTGCGATGGCGGATGCGGAAAAGTTCTTAAGTGGGGTCGTAATCCACATCCCCAAGATTAGACGGCTACTAGATATTTTTTGTGCCTTCTCTGTTTTGCGGAATGCTTCCTTTGTAATGGTTTTAGGAAGTCACCTCCGAACTTCATCGTTAACTAGGATAGTAGCCGTATGAGGCGGATGAGTTTTATTATAGTGCTTGTAAGATGTATCACTTTTTGATTCGATTTAAAAGTGGATATGATGAATAACAGACATCATAATGGAAGGTTTGTTACCAGTAGCAACCGGTTCAAACTTACTAGTTTCCAATCTCGGGCAAGAACAAAAAAGGTATGATTTTTAGGCCAAATCCCTGCAAAAAAAAGGTTATATACGAATAGGGTTTAAGATTAATGGTGTTCGTACAACTACTGCTATTCATATTTTAGTCGTGCGAGCATTTATTACTAATCCAGAAAATAAGCTTTATGTTAACCACATAAATGGAATCAAACGTGACAATCACGCAGTAAATTTGGAATAGGTAACTCCTAAAGAGAACGCTGAACGTAAGGTATTCCCGAATCCTGGTCGTGGCAGATCCAGACGAATTATGTTCGGATTTGGGATTCTATTCACCTCGCAAGTAATACACTTAAGTTATAGGATCCAGTATTTCATCATGTTGCAGAGGAAAGCAAAATACCGCTGAAGGGTGGTGTTGGCTGTATTATGGAGACTATGTACAACACGATCCCATGAAGCATGGAGAGATATAGATATTAATTCACGAAAATTCAGAGTTTCATCTTTAGGAAGGGTTCAGTTAACGAATGGTGTGATCACCCAAGGAACGTTATACTCAGGATATCCATGTTATGCTCATCGCTTAGTGGCGTTAGCTTTTTGCTTCAAAGAAGAAGACAAAGGATAGATAAATTATTTGATGGAAAAATAAAGCGTCTAATCTTGAATGGTGCTCACAGAAAGAAAATTCTCAACATGCCATACGTCTTGGACTTCGGCGTCAACGTGTTGTCAAACAGACTTTTGATGATGGATCTACCCGAGTATTTCCATCCTTAGCTGAAGCACAACGCATAACTGGGATTAAAAACAAGGTATCAGTTCATATTTTAATGATAAATTTTGAAAGTGGTGCATTACTTATGTAAGCTATTGTATGTTCCAATTTATTTCTGATAAATTTAATATTTCTGATAAATTTAATATTTTTATATAATATCAAAATAAAATTATTTCTTTAATATGATGAATTAAATAATGGAAATATTATATAATACATTAAAAATTGTATTTTTAATTTTTATATATTTTAATAAATTAAATAGTAATAATTTTATTTAAAGTAAATAATTAATTCTCAAAAAATATTTCGAAAATTTTCTGAATCTATATATAAGTGTTTTTAATATTTAAATAATTATTATATTTTTATGAATTTTTTATTTATTTTTAATTAAAAAAATTATTCGTATTTTTATAAAAATAAAAATATTAATTAGTAAATTGAAGACTTTATATAGAATATATATATATATATTATATAATAAATTTTGCAATAAATATTTTATAAAAAATAGTTTATAAACAAAAGTTGAAATACAAAAATAAATGTTTTATTTGATTTTTGAATTTTGATATAATATATATATTTTATAATTTGATTGAATAATTATAATAATTTATATAGTGACAATCAAAAGAAATATAATAGCATTAAATTTATTAATAAAATATAATAAATGCAGATTTTCTTTTTATATAAAAATTTTCAGTTTTACTGATTAATATTTTTTGTATATAATAAAAAATTTGTATTTATTATATTTTATTAATAAATTTGGATACTATTGTATTTCTTTTAATTATCATTATATATTAATAAATAAAATATAAATAAATAATAAAAGAAAAAAAATATACAGTTAACTCTTAATATTAATAATATTAATATCTTTTTATTATTAATATTATTGCAGAACAAATTTCACTTAAATTAATTAATATATTAATACTAACTCTAATTTCTGAGTTATTAATTCTTTTATATATTAACAAAAATATCTGGTTCCGTTATGTTGACAATGAAAGAGTAAATTATATATATAAATAATAAATTATTAAAAATAATTACAATATAATTATTTATTGTCAATTTTTATTAATAAAATTGCATATGCAATTCATAATTATATTAGTTACTATATATATACAAGCCATTCTTTTAAGATTACAATTATAAATTTGATTCTGCAAACTTTTTTATTTATTTCAAATTTGTAATACTAGAATTGTTGTTAATAAATTTATAAATTACAGCACTTTTTGAACCCTTAAAATCTTTAAGGTGATGATGTGATATTTCCTGTCTGGTTGTGACAGTATATTCCATATGATATACTGTCTAATTATTATTATAAAAATAAGAAATTACTACTTATAATAATATTAAAACATGTATAAGATGCAATAAAAATATAAAATTAAAAATTAATTGAAAGTTGGATAGAGGCAATCTCGGTAATCGATTATATATCCTGATCAATTATCATCTCAAATCCATACACCAGACGCATGACCCGGATCGACGTTGACTTTGAAGATAATCGGAGCATAACGTCGATACATATAATACTAATAAATCAAAGGGAAAAAGATGTTTCTCACCCCTCGGGATAAGATAACAAACAAGAGATAATGACCGATTGTTAGGGAAAATAACGGTAGGAATATATATATGTTCAGAGGGCAACCAGAGATATGGACCGATTGTTAGGGAAAATAATGGTAGAAATATATATGTTCAGAGGGGAAAAGATAAAAAAAGATAAATATATGATGCGCCACCACCATCACCAATCGCTGATTAATATATGATGAAGGGGATTTCAAATTAAAGATAAAAGGAATGTAGTAAAGTGTTTTTATATCAAAAGCAATACCCGCGTAGCCAACAACTCACCAATAAACTACGATCTCACACACGACAATCTGCTACTACTTATTCTTATCATAATTATCATTCCCTCTATATACTACACACGTATATTCACGCTTATATTCTAGCGTGAGCGAGAGACAGGAAACAGAGAAGCCAAAACACGTATACATAAAGCCACCCACCGTGATGTTACACGCGTATGATCTTTTTAGAAATATATTATGATCATAGTCAACTCATGATGAGTAGTAAATAATGAATAATAAATAGTGATGAATTATTATTGTGCTGCTATTTTAATATTATTGTTGTTGATATTTTTTACTAGTATTATTATTGCTGCTTATTTGTTTTTTTTGTCGTTATTGTGACTTTTGATCACTCAGTCAATAGACCATCGTTTTGTGTTTCGAACGTTATCAAGACTATAGCCAGGTGGATGTGATGATATGTCTTCGGTACTATCAGAGGTGACGTTTCGTCGTGTCAGAAGGTACTTTAGTCCCTTATCAAAATTTTTGAGACATAAAAATGAGATTACGAGAGTAACCTGTGAAATATTTTTGATTGAAGAAAAGATTAAAAAAATTATCAAAATAATCTACATTTATATTAAAAAAAAAACACAAAAACTCACCATTCCGAGTATCAAACAGAAACAAACTATATCAATATAATAAAGAATGTAAATATATATATATATATATAGTAATGCAAAAACCTTAAACTAAAAAATAATACTCACGGAAAAATGTCACAAAAATTTTAGTTCCGATATAGTCATCGGGCTTTCTCGCAACATCAACAAGCCTTATTATAATGTATATTTCAGTGCCCAGACATCCTATCATAAATGCATATAGTAAAAATTTACGTTCTGTTTGCACCTTTTTTAATTGAGATATAATAAAGAAAATTAATTTTATAATAAGTTCGCTAGAAAAAGGTGCGTTAATGCTATAAATAAATATCGGCGTTTCTAATTACCCCCCAAAATGCCACAATAAGCATTGCTGTCGATGCTATTGTCGATAATATTATATGATCAATTATTTGGTCTCCTCGATTTATTAAAAGAACCAAGAATTGAACGGTAAATCCAACAAAAAAGAATATATCAAATTTCAAAAGCATAATAAATACTGGAAAATCATATACGTATAAACATAATTCGTCAGTATCAATACTCAAATTATAATGAAAAGCTTAATATTCAAAAATATTCTTTCTTACTTTGATACATTTTATATCGATCTTTATGCAATAAACAAACAAACAAGTTAATTATCAGTATCCATGATCAACAGTAACAAATCATAACAACAATCATACTATTATTATATTTGTTAAATACCTCTCATGGACAGGTCTGCCCCAATTCGTTTATATATACTCCATCCAAACTCCTTATATAATTTATACGCCAAATAGGTGAAAATAAAAGAAAATAACACCATCAAGATAATGATGGCTACCTCGAATGGTATTGCCGGTGGATTATCTAAATCTGGGACTCTTTGTGATAGATTCCTACCAACTTCTGTGTCTTTATCGATTAGTGTGGCTGACTGTACGGCTGGATTGATCACAATAATTAATAATACATAGATATATACAGGTTTATAATCAACGATGACTTACTTTGAATGGCAGAGTATGACAATGTGCCAAACGTAAATAATGTCAGTGCTATCAGTTGAATAGTATTCTCATGATACAACTACCAGAAAACAAGATTAGATTAACAATTTTATAACTCTCGCACAACAACAAAAAATAAAATACGCACAGCATCAATACACAGCACCAACTGAAAGACCTGACTGGCCATAAATAATATATGATATACTGATATACTTTGTGCATTCGCTAAAACTGTCTTATATCCCATCTCAAATGTTTTATTTAGTTCAATTATGCCCGACTGGATCTTTTCCACCTCCCTTCTGTGCATAGTGTACACTATTGCTTCGAGTGTACCAATAATTATTGCTTGTACAAACGATGAAAATAGTGCCCATTTGGCGTGACGTGATTGTCCGAACTGGAATAAAATTTGATGTTTAGTGATTGTGTATATTTAAAAGATAATAAACGAAGTTTTATAGAAAATTGTTGTATTAAACTATCATTTGGATAAAATAATCAATATATCATCCCCCAAATATTATGTACACCCGCCGAGAAATTCGCCGTCCGACAAAACCATCAATACAACACAAAAACCCATACTTACCAATTTCTCTTGGAATAAATCAAGCATGTTTATAAATAGCTTATTGTTATTGTTATTATTAAAATTATTATTGTTAAATTATTATTTACAAAAAATATAAAGAGAATAAAAAATCGATAGAAAGAGTGTATTTAGTTTGAAAAGAGTGTTTGCTGCTGTTTTTGACCAATCAAAGTAATTTCAACAATCAAAGTAATTTCAACAATCAATCAATAACTCGACAGATAGTAGTAGTGTTGCAGTAAGGCTTTGACAAGAAGTCAGGTGTCGAGCCGCGACGACCCATTAAGAGTTAAAAGAAAAAGTTTTGGCCAGCCAGGCGTATAGATAATATATTTTCGTTTGATTGACTAGTCTAATATCATAGGTCGGCAGACAAAATGAGGCTGTCAAAAATGAAAAGTGTATACGTGCGCGTGTGCAAAAAGAAAATTGACAACTACGATGAAGTCTCGTATAGCAGTTTATGTACGTGCGTAGGATAAAAAATAAAGTATGCGTAATCGAAGCGTCTAGTGGTGAGGGTTTATGGAAAGAACACAAGAGATATAATGTATGTTTACACAGTTCAATTTTTTGGTGTGTTGGACTAACTATATCGATATATCATTTATACAAATTACGCCACGCACGTGGGGTTGTATATTTAATACATACACATCAAACTAATCTAAAGTAATACAGATTAATACATTTTTATCCTTTTTGAATTTTGCAAGCTTTTTATGTTTCATTCTGTATGAAGATTAAACGCAAATACGTTATCATTCGTCATTTGAAGTCATTTGGAAATATCAGATAGGACAATCCTCTCATGTTAATTTTCCATGCTCCTTTTCTTGTACGTGTCCAAAGCCACATTAGCAAAAACTTCAAAATTATGAGGCAATTATGGTGCCATTCAAAAAAAGCCATTTCCAAACCGATGTAAAATCATTGGCTGTCATATATATTATATTCGTGAAGAACATCCTTGTTCGAACACAACCTACAAATAGAGAAATGTATCAAACCATTTGCTCGAGTAAGAAATTATTACTTTGGCAGCAAAAATGACATCGATGATATTGGAAAAATGCGCATATTCGAAAAGATAATTAACTTTCAGCATCCTTTTTAGCAACGAATGTTACGGTAGCACCCTGTACAGCTCGTCTCCCCTTTCTGCAGAGATCTTGACCGTGATGTCCTTCCAGAATGTGCTATAGATCGAATCCGCGCAGTTCCAAAAGCTCTCTAAGATTTCCACGCAGTGCTTAGAATTCTGCGTCTTCGAGGGCGGGTCGCTATTATCAAAACTAGTGATTCCTGGTTAATGCAATCACAGTTAAAAATGGTGCCGTCAGCCTTGCGTGCTAAAACACCCACACCATCACACCATAAGCAAATCTGCGGAGGAAGGAACATCAGGCTAAATAGAACGGTGAAATGTTGTACTTTATTCTCTTCACATAACTTACCATTTGGAAACAAACAGACCTGGAAAGCACATTTAGAAACTCCAAACCCGGGGGATACAATCGTTGATGTATACGTGTTCTCGTCCATTAGCAGATCAAATTTTTCCCGTATTGGTTCGCAACTGCGTGAGTCTGTATATAAACACACCTTCGACTTTCGCAGGTTTGATAATGCAGTATTGATTTTGCGCTAAAAGAAAATAAAAAAATAAATCAAAGAACAAGGAAATGCTTTCTTTTAACCTATTGAAAACATCTTTGCTCACCAAGGAATGATCAAATACCAATGATGTTTGCTTCGACTAACCTGTTTCAATAAAAGTTTATATTAAAAACTATTGCTTTGTAGTCTTCAATGGAAATCATTGCAGTTACTTTTCTTAAATTCTTTGTCGCATCAAGATGGATCTTTAATAACTACCACTACTTACGTTCACTTCGACCTCCACTTCGCTTTTGCGCATCCTTTGTTCAACACTTGGAATGATAGAAAACACCAAAAATCAAAAATGATGTTTGCTTTTTCGTCGGCAAGGGTGCGTTACTATTAGTGGACTGCAACTCGGTGAACCTTTTCCGAATAACGCGACAAGAGCTTCAATCACTAGATGGCTCCCCTCAAGATTGAAGACCATTGTAAATATTAGGAGGCATAAGAGCTGCAGATATTTTGCTCCCGGCCTATTACTCTTTTTCGAAGGAGTCGGAATGCACAAGCTGTCCTTTATTTGAAATACAACGGCCGACATATTGTTATGTGTTTCTTTTGTTCATATATTTAATTAATCAAGACAGGTCCACTTTAAAAAATATAAAGTCACTGTTTGACAGCTGCGGAAAAAAGCTTCAAAACAGCAAGGTAAACCCACGGCCCGAACTTCCAACGGGGTCTTGCAGTTTTCTGTCTTTTTGCATTTTCTTTTTAATAAAAAATATGTTAAACTTGCCCCATAAAATGTTTTGCTTTCGTGTTTCCAGTTACTATTTTAAAAGTGAAATACATTGGATCTCCTTGATGAGTAACTGTGTCTAATTCAATATTTAATGTGGGGGAATCATGATGAAAAACGGATTATGGTGAAAATTTTGGCCAAAATTGTGCAGTCATGGGATCATTTGGCCAGAATTATCGACAATTTCTTATATATTTTGAAAATAATGATATAAATTTATTAATACATGTATTATACAACAATCAGACAATCTGATTTGATACATATCAATCGTTCCAGAACGTGATTTTTCCAGATATAAACACATGTTTCTCATAACCTGACAATATGAACCACATGAACGAATACGAAATGCTGGAATTCGTTGATTTTACTCTTCAATACAAGATAGATCATCCTGAATCTAACGTACGCGAAATAACCCAAAAGTACAATGAGTCAAAGCAAGGTAAGCAAGCAATCAATGCATGTTTATTGGGAGAATAGTTTGAATACAACAGGAAATGCTCATTGTGTTTGATGTTCTTTCATGCTATTCTGTTGGTTACCTATTCACTCAACTCTATCTCTTCTATTGCATCTACCTCCCACCAGTAACCCAGTTGCGTGGTGGAGTCAAAGTGCAAAAATCTAACAATAATTATATTGTATTAAAAACGTATTTAAGAGTACTTTGATGAAACCTCGAGAGGATTATGTTGACGTCTTTTTTCGTCATCTGGAACAGTGTGCGATTGAATGGGCACCGGAAAAATTCTATGCTTCATACACATCGCTCGTATAAGCCAATGGCACTGGCAAGTCAAAATTATTACGAGAATTAGCAGTTGAAAAAGACGTCTTTGTGGTGTATATTTATTTGCGTGATTCAATAACGATGGGCTACCCAAAGCGTTCCACCATTGCTGATATAATCGCTGAAAAGAGTTTTTCAAAAGCTCACTATTTTATCTTCTTATTGGCTTTGTTTGGTATGTGTTCAGAATTCTTGGATCAGCAACTTCGTGAAAATGCGAAAAAGACATGTGATCGTGTGTTTGACATTCTTATCAGTGACAAAATGATGAAACGTTCGACCTGCAAAACCATTTTTGGAATAAGGTGATGGAGCAGATGAAATTGCAAGAGATCTCGACTGATGTTGTAGAAAAGATAGCAAATCACTATAAAAACCTTATGGTTACTTTGAAAAAATTGAGCAACACCTCTCCATTTAAGATGTTAGTCTTTGACGAAGCTGGTGCATTGATTGATAGCAACAACACTTTTAATGACAAGGGTGATTTCTATCACTTACGAAAGGCACTACAGGCTATTTCACGTGAAAGTTTTATGGCACTTTTCACAGACACTCTCAAAAGTTTCAAATTTCTCTTCTGGAAAATGCCACGACTCATCCAGCAAAGTCAGCCATGAAGGATAAAGACTGTTCAAACATTTTATCTTCTTGATGTATTTGACTGCCGCGTACAACGACCAGTAAATATTACAGTTTCATCATCAATATGTCAGATTCGCAATATGGGGCGACCTCTTTGAGCAGACATTGATGAAGCAACTGTCATAGAATTTGTCATGGAGAAAATTCTTTGCGATATGACGAAAGCTAGGTACATATATGAGAAAAGAGTCAATTCATATACATTCATCGAGACGGTGACAGAAGCACTAGTAATTCTTGGTCCACGACTTTATTTGAAAATTTCAAGTCTTTTACAGCAAGCCTCCAAGTTAGTTAGTAATCATATGAGGATTTTGCGTCATGTTGATGATGAACGGGAATTACTTATCACTATATCTCCAAGTGAATTCATGTTAGCCGAGGCTGCGAGTCATACCATGAATTGTCCTGGAATATTTGAATCACCTAGTTAACTCAATCAGAAATCATGTTGTAAATGCAGTTGATCATGGTGAGCTTGTGGGGAGAATCTTCTATCTGTTGGCAGTTGACAAGGCAATTTAATCAAAATATAAATGCTAGAACATGTGCTCTCAGCCTATCACTGTGCAAGAATTTCTTGATGCACTTGTTGGTTCACGGGCCTTTGAAAAGCTCAAGTCATTGCTTGATGAACAAGCCAACGATAATAATTCTGTAATACTTCATAATAGTAAGATCAGGTCCAACCACTTTTTATATATCAACTTCACATCCACAAAGATACATCTCATTGACTTCTTCTTTCGTGGTGCAGCAATATTGTGTAAATGCAATCAAAAAGGAACAGGTCTGATCATTCCAATTGTCATGATCCAGGATGATAAAATCCCAGTTACAGAGAATAACGTGTCATTCATCAGTATTCAAGTTAGAAATCGAGAGGCTGATGATCAGCCAACTGATAATTATTATCAGCTAAAGAATGAACAACAAGAAAGCGAGCCAGTTTTTAAACGATAAAGAACAGATAATATATTCAAACAGACAGCTCGTTATATTCAAACAGACAGCTCATTATATTGGAATTGACAGTAGCATAATTTATCCTTTACCCTATCTTGGCATTTATATAAGTCTTGGTGTGACATTTGAAGATGTAGAGTGTTACTGTACGTTAAACATGGGGTGAAAACACGAACAAGTGTCAAGGAGAGAATGGGACATTTGAGCATTTATGAACTCTCAAAGAGTGTGTATTCATGTCTTAAGAACAAAGATAGTGCTATAGAACTATTATTGCACAAGTTGTTGATATCATGTGTTGATCCTGTTGAAAAAGAAGATGGCAAACTGTGGGATGGACACGAAGCAAATGATGAATGGATCTAACAATGCAAGCAAATTGTGAAGAATATGGAGTTTTCAAGATAGGTTAGAACATGTATTTGCAATTTAATCATGTTTTATTGTTGCACTTTGCATTTAATAAATGAGCAGAAAAAAGGTAAAGGAAATCGAAAAAGATAAGAGTGCTAATTTTGAAAAAATTATTTTGTCTTTCTATTATTTATCCTTCTCATGAACATGATATCAAAAGCAGTATTTAATCCCTCTCTGTGATATATTTGTCATTTTTTAAGCAATAATATAATGAATTTGTATTTTGAAAAGAAGATTCAAAAGATTCAAAAACTTGGAATACAAATAGGAACAATTAGAGAATTAATAATACAAAAAATAAAATTAAAATGTTAATTTGTTCAATAATTGTTATTATATAGTGTGAATAAAATATTGATTTAATTAAAAAAGATAAAATTGGAAATAACATGAAAAAAATTAAGCAAAAGTTTATGGAATATTTGAATTAAAAAACAAAATAAAAATGTCAAAAAAATAATCATAAAAACTATAGTTATAAAATTTATCTATATAATTATTTGTATATGAAAAATAGTGAATATAGTAATTATACTAAATAAAAAAAAAAAGATTATATATATATTTTTTAGAGATAGATTATAATTTAGAATTCTAAAAAAAGTTTGGTTTAGTTCGAGCTTGAACTGAACTCGAACCTAATCAAAAATCCAGTTCGAGTTCAAGAAGATTCTAAATAAATTTGTATATTATAATTAGAGCTACAAATTAATATAAAATAATTAATATTAAAAATGAATATTCAAATTTAAAGTTACAAATATTGACTAAATAATTGTTATTTTTTTCTTTTATTAAATTTGATATTTGCTTTTTTAAAGTTGATAAAGTCAAAGAATGATAACAATTAATTATTAACTTCTCAAAATATCACTGTTAATTATTCTTTTTTAATTATTTTAATAGAAGATAATTACAAATTTGAATTACAAAAGTAAATGTATACTTAGTAAATTTCTTTTGAAAGGAAAAATATGATAAAATCTGTGACCAAACTTAAAAAAACTAATAAAACTGAATTATAATAAAATAAAAGAAATTATATAATAAATATATATATAAAAAAAATACAATTAGATGATAATTATTATATAAAAAAAGAGAAAGTAAAAGAAATATAACTGACTAATAATTATTGTGTAAAGCAAAAGAAAAATTATACAGAAAAAGTCAAATAAAAAGATAATTAATAAAAAGGTAATTAATAAGAAGATAATTAATATAAGAAAAAAGTTAAAGTAAATATTTTATTTTTTTAATAAAAATTTGATTTCTTTTGCAACTACTTTTTTTATTTTTTATTTTTAATTAGTATTATAGTCAAATTTTTCTATAGTCATATCTGTTTATAGTTACACTTCTCTATAATTATTTTATTTTGCTTTTCTATTTATATATAAAAATTCTTCTATAGTTATATTTTTTCTATAATTACCAAATTTTATTTTTCTAAGAATAATAATTATAGAATATTTGATTATAATTATAATAAAAAGAAAATTCTAAATAAGAAAATTACAAAAAATTATTTAAATATAAAAGAATATAATATTATATATATTAATATTATTTTAATTATTACAGATTAATTTCAATATTTCATGAAAAATAAATTCACTTTCTAAATAAAAATTTAATAGTAAAACTAAAGCTTAATTAAATTAAATTAAATTTTTTCAAAATCAGTATTTGTTTATAATTAAAATTTCTGATTTATTATAGAATTTTAACAAATTAAATTATTATTTTAATTTAATAAAAATTGATTAAAAATTAGTATTAATATTTTTATTAGATTTTATCAGGTTAAATTTCTGAAATATTTCTTAAATTCTGAAAATTTCCAGAAAAAAATTATATTTTTTACAGAGTTAAAATATATAATTAAATTTTTATAATCTATAATTTTATAATTAAACTAAATATTTTTATATTTAAATTAACAAAATTAAAATAATATTAATAAAGATATTAATTAGTATTTAAAATTAATATAAAAAATTATAAAATATTAAATAAATTATAAAATAATAATATTTTATTAATTTATATTTAAAATTTTGCAAATTTAGATTTATTTAATTTAAATAAATATTTTTTATATTTAAATTGATTAAATATTTGAAAAAATATAAATATTTAAAGTTAATTAATTTTTTGGTATTTTTTTAAACTTATTAATATTGATTCAAATTAATAAAAAATTTTTTTAAGTGTTTTATTTCTTCATATTAATTTTATTATAATTAAATCTAATAAGTTTTAATAAATATTTAATATTTTTTAAATAAAAGACTTTGAATATAAATAATCTGAAAAATTAATTTTAATTAAATAAAATTTTTAATTAATTAGTTTTAATAAATTTATTTAAAAAATATTAAAATTTATTATTATTAATAAGTCAATATTATTGATTATTTAATTTTAATTATATAATTATAATTTAAATTAAATTATATATTGTTACCATATTTTATGAGTCCTTGGGAGAGCAGGTGAGTGCTTAATAACGTTATAATAAGTTACTTGACCAGGGTAATTATAGTAAAGTTTATTAAGAATGACGGGTGG